AGTCATAGTAGTCGTAGTGGTAGTGGTAGTGGTAGTGGTAGTGGTAGTGGTAGTGGTAGTGGTGGTAGTAGTGGTGGTGGTGGTGGTATTAGTAGAAGCAGAAGTAGAGGTGGAAATAGTTGAAGTAGTAGTGGTAGTAGTAGTAGCAGTAGTAGCAGTAGCAGTAGCAGTAGAAGAAGTAGTCGTCCTTGTCATCGTCATCACCATCATCATCGACGGCACGGGTTCCGATCGTCATCAGCCTTTTTGCTCATGGTTTCTATGTACACATACCAGGTGCAATAGTGCACACCATCGGATTTGGGACTAGTTCTTGGTGTTGCATCGAGCGAGTCTTTCCCTTCAATAATCACTCTCAATAGTAAGAGTAATAGTAAGAGTAATAGCACTCCTACTAGTGATAGTAACAGTAATTTCCTATTACTATTGCTATCAGAAGCACTCTCGCAACAGGCTCTCCAGCCAGGCCGCCCATTTCCTCCCCAAGGCCCCAGCGCGACGCAGCAGCCTCAACTGGTTGGGGGTCTAAAGGGAGAGGGCCCACTGTATCACGTTGTGCAAGAGGTGGTGATGGTAAGTGAGAGGCAGACATCACACAATGGGGGCAGAGGCTCCCACACTCCCCGGCTTGATGTTTAATTGTGCCAACAGGGGTTCCAGGGTATACCGTTCGATGCTTCGGGAGTGGGCAGCTCACATGTTGACAGGGAGCGAAAGAGGCACCTCGGGTTTAAACAAGTTCAGCGGTCGAGCCATCTACGAGGCTCAGTGGCAGCCTTTCTTGAGAGCTGGACTTCTAGCCTCCGCTAGTCTAGCAGGAGGGTGGCCCTGGCACAACCACCTCGTAGGGAGGGCGAGAGTGAAGTAGCATGCATTGATAACTCATGCAAACTTTAATGGTTATGGATTGTAAGCGTGAGTGTCTAAATGGTGCGCGTGTGTTATGTATGTATGGAATGGAATGTACTGTAATGTAATGCAATGTAATGTAATGTAATGTAATGTAATGTCATGATATGCAATGTGATGTAATGCCATGTAATTTAATGTAATATAACGTCATTGTGTGTGGTTGTGTACGTGTACATAAATGTACTTCTGTAAGTGTATATCTATGTTGTGCATAGTAAGTATGTATGTATAGATGTGTGTGTACGCACTGTATGCACAGGTATGCATGCATGCATGCATACATGCATGCATGCATGTACGTATGTACCCATGTGCATATGTACGTATGTATGCGTACGCATGTACATGTGTATATATATATATATACACATATGTGAACGTATGTATGCAAATGCATTCAGGCATGTATGCATGCAATGTATGCATGCAATGTATGCATGTAATGTATGTATGTATGCATGTATGGATGGATGGATGGATGGATGTAGTATGTATGCATGTATGTATGTATGTATGTATGTATGTATGTATGTATGGGTATTTTATGTGTATGCCCATGTGTATGCTCATGTACGTAGATGGAAATGTGTATGTGTATGTGTATATGTATATATATATATATATGTGTACATAAACATGAAATATGTGTATATATTATTCATATGGCATGTGGTATACGTTTAACTTAGCAACGTTGCAAAGACATACGCACTGAGAAGCTAACCGGCCTGCAGAACATAGGCGGGCCATGAGCGGTCACATGCACACGGCCTGGAGAATTCCAGCTCAAGCCACGGAGGCTCTGAAGTGATGGGAAACAGCTATGAACCGCTGCTTAGTTTGTGCGTGCTCATGTTCCGGATGCCGCCATGATCCCGGAGCATCCCTGAGCCTTGCAGCATACCCTAAACCCTAAACCCTAAACCCTAAACCCTAAACTCTCAGTAAATAGGAACCCTTGTGGAGTCCCTTGTGATAACTGAAACCCTGAACCCTAGACCGATCCTAGGATCGAATTGTTTGACTGAGGAGGCTCCTCGATTGGAGCCCTTCTGCAAGGGTGGCGCGGAGGCCGGGCATCGGATTCGAGATGTTGGGTTCAGGGTTTAGTGCTTAATTAGGGCCGTTCAAGGACAGGTTATTGTAATTATTTTACATCCCGGACCTTGACTGGAAGAGATGTGCATGTGGTTGGGACTGAGACAAGGGTCCTCGCCACTTAACCATTTGCTTTCGGATCGCAGGTCACAGGTCCCAACAGTGATGGCCAAGCCGAGGGGTCTTCTAGATTATTTGCCTGAGGGCTGTCGCGGATGAGGGGTGGACCGGTGTGCAGTGTGCATGTGGAGTTGTTTGGATTTTTTCGGACCACTAACGGTCCGAGGTCTTGGCAGTAGCAACATTTCGGACATGGCCGGAAAAGTCCCTTTGCAAGCTTTTGGAGAAGGTAGAACCCACCCGAAAGCCGGCATCGCAATCCCCGCGCTGCCAGGAGCGCTGGTCCCAAAGTCCGGAGCCACCGGCCTGAGAACTGCAGGGGGTTCTCAGGACTCAGGCGAGTTTTGATTGTGGGTACTTACAACCTTAATGGTTAGGGTTTATGGTCAACCATCATAATTGCCGTAATGTTTTAACGAGGGTCCTTCTATCGGGGTCTGGATCGAGGCTCCCACAGGATGTTGGGTTCAGGTTTAAGTTTACGTCCTAGGTCCAAAGCCTATAGGGTTAGTAAATTTAGTAGTTGCGCGTTGCAGTGGTTGCAGGGTTTCGAGCTTAGCGTGTAGGACATGCAGATATACCCGGTTTGCAGTTTGGTCTAGTCTTGTCGAGTATAGATAGTCCAGTACAGTACCCGGTCAGCAATCCTTATGATCAATTCTTCCTTTATGGCGGCTTGCCCTCAGTGTTGATGTTTAGGGGTAACAGGGTTGGGTTATGAGTTCGGGTGTCGGTTTAGACTGCCGCGAGCTAGAGCTTGTTTAGGATGGGGTCGCAAGCCGGCTATCTGCCCCTATCTACGCATCCATCCATCATTCGGGTTGGTTCAAAGTTACTGCCTACGGCCTCATTCAGGCTGAATTTAGCATTGTGAACTCCAGAAAGTCGGCACATGGATTAAGTACGGTCAGTGACGGCATGAGGATACGGTTGTGCCAAACTTGTGGCTTCTACTCTAACTCAACAAGGAGGCATCGGTGTCAATAATGTCCTCGCATCCTCTTCCTTGATTCATTGGGACGTCAAAGCCCTCCACTTCCCTTCAGCTCGCAACAATTCCGGGAGTCATGAAGGAAGATGGAAGACATGAAGCTTAGTTGTCCCAACAAGCTTCTTGCTTGACCGATGGATCCAAGCAGGCACCTGACGCTGAAGATCTGCAATAGTCGTTGTGTTGGCCGAAACCGTAGAAGGGGAACTGTTCTGGTCTCTGACATATCACAGCATGCTTATACTGGAGTATATAACATATCATACCGCACTATATTGTACTGTGCCATATGTATTCTGTTATATCATAGAATAAATCTTTCATATCATATCATATCGATCTTACCTATATTATGATTTAGTTGTATTATATTACGTTCTATTATATGAGGTATAATATATCATATTGTTCTATAGTTTGTTACAGCAGGCTAGATAACAGTTTATCTGATAACTTTATTATGTTCTAAAACTGCAGTATGCTCGGCGTTTAAAGCCTGCACACGTCAGTTGAGCCCGGGACCGTTCGAGCAATGAAAAGTCTTCGGAGGCTTGAAACTAACTCATCTATCTATTAGTCTATCTGTCGATCTATCTGCATCGCTAACAACATGTAACACGAGTTGATCTGTACGTGTGTATAAGATATAGAGTTAGATCAAGAAGATATAGATAGATATACATATGTTTATATGCTGTCTATCTCTATCTCTCTCTATATACATATTTATATATATATATATGTCTATATACTATGTGTATGTGTATATATATATATACATATTACACGTGACTATTTTTTGTCATTGTCTTCTGTTGTTTGGCAGGCACAATCGTCGATTTACCGCTCCAGTACAAAGTAAGGCAATCCTGAAGTGCCGCCTCCTGAAATCCCAGACTGGGTTCTTGTTAAGGAACTCAGCTTAAGTTACCATAATAGGGCTATAGTAAAGAGAAACGTGTCCAAAATTACGTTGACTTAACTTGAGTCCCTTGACGAGAACCCAGCAGAAGCCCCGGCGACGACAGATTTTCGGGCCAGCCCAGGCAGCCCCTGCGCACAGCACCGAGCGAAGCACGAGGTGTGCTTGGGTGGTTTAGGAGCCCTATCAATCAGTGCCAGCTTACCTGCAGAATCCTTTCGCAATTTTGGCCCGTTTCTAAGTTGCATGAGCCCTGCGTTGCTGCAGGTCTATATCCGCAGGTTTTGGACTAGTGATTCCTCCAACGCCGTAGCATGCTGTGAGGGACTTTGGGCCCGCGATTGAAGATAAGACGTTCGAAGTCTGAATTTGTTGTTCCTATGCTGCTGTTCAATGCAATGTTAGGTTGTTCACGACGAAACTTGACAGCCGGAAGCTGAACAAGACAGGTCAACCAAGTATTCAGGCCCGTTTACAAAGCCAAGCACCTCAACCCGTGCCGGGGAAGCTGGAACAATCCCCGACACACCCACCCACACCCACACCCACACCCACACTCACTAGACTCGGCCTTCCTCCGAGGTTGGATTGTTTTTAATTGTTGTTTGCACCGAGACGAGGACTTGGCTCATGCTGGTCTATACAGTGAATCATGTTCATGCGCGTGTGTGTGTGTGTTCATGTGTGTGTGTGCGCGCGATTTTCATTGCCGACATGTTGAACTTGGGTTGAGGGTCTCGAGAAGTTTTGAACTTCGAACCGTCTGCTGTTGTGCGCGTGTGCGGTCTCAGCCGCTTCAGTACCGACTCTGGCCGCATTTTCTGGGACTGTACTCCGTGTTCCCTGTGGCAGCGATGCCTAATCTTAGGCCATGGCCATCATAATTGGTTTTCTTCATGGCTTCTGCGTGATGCCCACCGGCAAATAGTAAAGGTGGTGAGAAGGACGGGTTTCGTCATCAGGTTCCCACACCATGCCCTTTAATATGATCAGTGTTGCAAGGTGCGGCGAGCTGTAGCCAGCGTGGCGAGGCGGCCCCTCAGGTCTTGCCTTGTCAGTCAGGCTGAGGGGGTCCATAGGCTGGGCTGTTTCGAGGAGATCCTGTTTCTGCAGCATCTGTTTGTTTTTGGGATGCGGGAGTCAAGAGAGACCATCTCAATGTGGTTTCACTACCACAAGAAAGCGACGAAGACAACGCCAGCAACAACTGCCGTGACGGTCATAAGGAGGACCGCAGACATGTTAGCAGCAGCAGCGAGGTAAATGGCTGCCGACAGACATGTATGAGCGAGCGCTCGAAACACGCATGCTCGACAGCCATCCATACAGCGGAATAGCGTTCGTTGGCCTCAGCTTGCCCCTCACATTTTCGTCGGCCCATGACGCCTTCAATCCTTCAAAAAAGCCTCTGTAGAAGCCCTACAAGGACCTGGCGGACAAAGAGCCCTGCTGCAAATCTTTAGTTGCCGGCGCGGTGTAGATGCCCCGGTCTGACGTGTTTGTAGGTTGCACTTTATTGGGATCTATGGCTGTCATTTAGGTTTCCTAAACTGGTCACATGCAGACTTTACCAGGGAAACACAAGGTCCTGTTCGAGGTTCATGGTGGGATGTTACCGGGGCTGTACTGTCTGTTCCTTTCCCCGTTTCGGGGTGTCAATGCGGTAGAGTACGTTTCAACAAATCCCCGTGAATGCGCTGCCTTCAATGAGTGCAAGCCCCGAGAGCTCTAGACCCTCAATCTGCACTGCGATGCCATTCAGAACAAGCTGGGAAACAGGCGTGGCGACTCGTAGTGCCAGAACTGCGTGCGACATCTGCCAAGGACCTGCGCCGGAGTACTGTGCCAATCTGGCGTATAGGGCTTAATGAGAAGTTCAGCACTGTGGTGGTTTAGGAGTTCCGGAGCAAGGGCTTGTTTATCAAGCACGGCTGCCAGTGGTGGGTTTCCTTGTCCGATGTCTCGGCTGGATTGAGGATAGACATCCTGAACTTGTCCATGCCAATCCCGAGTTACGACGGTTTGGTGGCGGATATGTTTTTGGTAGTCAGCGTTTTTGAAGACAGTGTTGATCGGAGATCTATAAGTTCTGGGGCTAGGACAGTAGGTCTTTGCGCAAACGGATAGTCGGACAGTCTGTTGTTGAGGACTGTCGTGCATCGGGCGGTTCTGATGCATGGTCGGAGACCCAGAAGCGCTGGTCGATTTGTGATGTTGGAACAAGTAGTTAAGTAGTGAAAGCTAGGCTGCAGTGGTGCTCGGGCTAAAAGCGGCTTGCCGTCTTTGACTGACTGCTGAGCTCGACAATTATCGGGGACATGTTCTGCAGCGGTCATGTGGACTCGTGACCGCGAGCCCTTTCATGCATATCCTCCCACAAAGCACTTGGTTCATTTGCATCTGCAACACTTTCGTCTTAAATCGTGAAGCTTATCTTGTTTGAACCCGGCATGTTTAAAAATGTCTCACCCTCCCTATAGACAGGTTCGGTGCAATAATCGGAGTAGGTGTGTTCCATTTGAGCTTCAACTGTTGCTGCGTGCATCACCAGAGCAGAATTGCTGGAACGAATGGTGTATTTCTGGCCTAGATGCATTGCTACAGCGGCAGTGTTGAAGCGGGGATGCTCGAAGGATCTCGAACGGATGACTTGTTGATGTGACTACAGTCAGAATCTTTGTATGCGCAGAGTCCGCCGATTCCCCGACTGAAAACTCTCTAATCTCCCCACTGCAGGCCTTGAGTCTTAACGGCACCACCCTGCAACTCCGGAACCGACCTTCGTCGATATATATATATATATACATATATATATATATATGACCCGTGGGCACAAACCCATAATGTGAGTATGTTTTCCACATGGTCCACGCAAGGCGTGAATCGTGAAAGTCTAGGTATTTGAAGTGTGCATAAGCCCAGAAGTCCATAGATGCACCTGTAGTAGGTGCTAGTAAAAGCTCCATAAACCACTGCGGCACTCGAAATCAGATGTAGAAACAGCCCTAAAACATGTCTAGATAAGCCCCCTATGCTCTATTTGCAAGTCCCATGGGAGTCTTCTGGATAGAAAGACTGTTCCATACAGACCACAACGAACTAGGATCTCGATTCTTTGGACTCCTGTTATCACCCACCGCCACCGAAATCAGACAAGATGTGCCAACTTTCAGAGTACCAGGTCGAGTTCGGCCAGACGTTCTCCTGCCGGAGGCTGAAAGAAGCACTCTTCGACCACCGTTCCCGAACCATTGGGTTGGGTTTCGGGGGTTTGGGCTTTTCGTTTCTTAGTGAATTAGAGAGCTTTCGTTGAGGATTTAGGCATGCAGTTTCCGAAATTGAGAGGGTTGTGATTTAAAGCTGGGTTTCACATTTTCCCAAATTTCCACCTGCTGCAGAGAAAGTTTCAATAATATAGTCATAACTGTTAGGGGACTTTACCAAAACGGCCCGACTCAGAGGCGTACTTAGTCCAAAGGTAGGTTCATCTTCAGGCTTTGGCCGCGCTTTCGGTGTCTGGGGCTTTAGAGCTTGGCCTTTCTGGCCTTTGTAGTCCCGAAATGCTCCCACCCTGGCCCTTCGCACCCAAATCCTCAGTTCGGGCCTGGAGACGCTGCTCCCTTCGTGGAATTGACGACGACACCCTCTCGCACACGTTAAAACCCCGAAGCCTATACATCTTCAGCTCCGAAGCCTAGACTCTAAACGGCTTCAACGTCTTTGAACTTTCAGGCTCCTGCAAGCTTGGCAAGCCAGAGTGAGGAGGATTAAGCGTGAGGTCAAGTCAGTCACAGTCATCGGACTGGCTTATCCCTTCACTGAAAGTTTTGAATCTTCATGGATCCCAGAGCATTTCCCATGATACGGCATTATGATTTGTACCGGAACTCAGTTTCGCGCACAATAGCAAAAAATGCGACACCAGATCCTGGCATTGCGGCACCATCCCTGCAGGCGACGGTGCACATCGTAGCCTGGCCGCTGGCCCGCACAAGACTGGGCGTCCGAGGCTCTAGTTCTCTAGGTACACTCCCAGCCTCCTTCGTGAAGGGGCAAGCTGAACTTGCATGCAAGAAGATACATGGATGGGCCGTAAACGCGTTAAACCCTAGAGAAGTGCGACAACGAGGAGGGTGGGATACAAAACGACCCAGCATGCTAAGGGGGCAAAGCTAGGCAACAACTCGACCCTGAGCAGTCGGCAGAAGACCTGTGCTGTCTGTTATGTGTCAAACGGCATTAGACATCTCTGTGCAGCAGGCAAAGCTGCGCATGCGTCTCTACTGGATGTTTCATGGTTCGATCCCAAATGAGTTTTCTTGCGTGACAGGGGTTGCCTTGTTTCTCACCGTCATTGTGATGATGGTTGTTGCGTTATGAGCGACCTTCCCTTCGGCTTAAAAAAAGTGTAGCTAGGGCCTCCTGCTTCCTGAAGCTGTACCGGCCCAAACTCTGAGAGAAAGTTACAACACCGGCAGCCGAAACTCCGACTCAGGCAAGTGGCCCACTCCTCACGGAGAGGGAGGCACGGCTGTCGCAATGAGGGTAGGTGCACGCACATCTTTCGCTTCTGGTCCGTGGCACTTCCTTTGCTTGCTGGGGGAGGAACGTCTGGAAGTAAGCGCCCGATGCATTGAATCCACATCAAACAGTAGCTGCCAACCTTCTATGCATGCAGGTGCTGGAAAATCGTATCCGTGGCGAGGACCGTGCGCCAGGTAGAAGCTACATAGTTGATCTTATCGTCTTGAACCACTAGCCGCATCAGTCGCCTCTGAATCAAAGCTGCAGCCTCACGTCTGCGCAGCCCGGCATGCCTCAGAAGAGCAGGGCAGAAGGATTTGCATCCTGTTGTTCCCGAAGCAAAGCAAGGGCGAGGGTCGAAGGCTTGCGCAGGGTTTCAGGTCAAGAGACCTCACTTCGCGCTGCAGTTTGCCGTTTGTCTGGGTGTTTCTTCCGCAGCCGTTGCACGCCAGGCGAGCGGAGGTCTCCACAGCATTCCACAGCCGGGGGTCACAGCACAAAAGATCATAAGTATTAAATTCTTAGTGAAGCATCCTCCTCCAGGTCCTATATGGTTGTTAAGCCAGCAAAATCTCTTAGTCATTCTACGGCTTGCAAAGGGCAGCCCGTGCGGTGGACGGAGAATGATGCTTCCAGCATGCTTGCATAAGCGCTGGAAGCAGCCCTGGCAGAAGAATGCCCGCGTGATGCCTGCAGGCACGCTGCTCTGCGCAGCAAACGAGCGTGCTTCCAACAAGTGTTTCGAGCCAATGTTCTTTGATGCGGCTCGGTGGTGTACGTACATATTCATGGATTTATGTTGTTCCCCACCCTCGGTGTGGGGTTGTTAGATTTTAGGGTCAGCTACTGTATTACTCCTCGCTCGCTGAGACTACCTCCTGGAGTGCCCACCCCCACAGACTACCGTGAGACTCCCTGGAGTGCCCACCCCACAGACTAGCGTGAGACTCCCTGGAGTTCCCAACCTCACAGACTAGCGTCAGACTCCCTGGAGTGCTTCATCCACAGACTACCGTGAGGGTGGGGATGTTCGAAGTAAAATAATTTTGTACTGTCGGCCTGACGTGTCTTGCTTTTCTGTGGGAACTGAGGAAATGCTCGGCGTGCTGCCCGCAGAGGTTCCCGGTTGTCCCATTGACTCGACCCCCGGCACGCCGGCAGTACAGAGGCCAGCCGAGACTATTTCGAAGAGAAACAGAAGTTCTTGCGATCTCCTGGACTCAGCGGAGACTTTGCAGCGAGAGCGGGCTCTCGTTGAACTGGAGGAGTTCAACAGGACACTGGTGGCTACCCGTGCTTCAATGCAGGGTGTTTCTTCAGAGCTGGCAGCTTTTCTTTCGAACTCCGAGCACGAACTGGTCGAGGCTCGTATCGGCTTCCGAGCCGCCACATCCAAGGTTCAAGAGCTGCAGGAAGGCATGTGCGACTTGCAGAAACAGGTTCTCCTGACAGAGAAGGACGCGCATCGGTGGGAAACGGAGTGCCGCAGTCTGTCCCAGAAGCTCCGGTCTCTGGAGGAGGTGCTGGCTGCTCAGCGTGGTGAGCTTATGGCCTCTGAGGTGGCGGGCTGATTCATCACAGCGGGAGGGTTGGGAGTACATGTGTGTAATTTATACAAGGTGTTATTTTTATGTATCGTATATTATATTATTAATATCCACACATGTATCTATATATATATATATATATATATGTGTGTGTGTGTGTGCCAAGTGGGAGCCAAAAATGTGTGTGTGTGTGTGTGTGTCTGCTCAGAAGGTGGTATGGTTCTAAGAAAATGGGTAAACGTTGAAAAAATGAAGGCCAACAAAAGGCACATTAAAGCTGCAGAGATGCGGCATCCTGCCGAGCCTTGATGGTTAAACGCTGCACATCGCTGCACCAAAGAGATGTGCTTCCAGCCATTCCTATTTGTGTCTGTTTTTCCTTGTGCAGCTTTTCCATGCAGAAGCTCCATATACCAAATCAAAGCGGCAGAAATGTTGGCTCGCGAGGCCATGTGCAGCGAAGGTGCTAAAGCATGACTTTACTGTAGCTGTAGCTGCAGCCTTAATGTGCCTGTACCGGAATCTTCTGTTGCCCGCGACCGCAGAATTCGCCTCAGTGAGAGCTTTAACCTGCTTTCGTCTCGCATTTTCAATGTTATGATTAGTTTCTCTAAGGTATCCCACCTTGGCTACCTACCTGTCGGTCTGAAGGGCTCATGTGCGCATTTCACAGGTCTGCCGGTTGCAAGCGGTTCGGGAAGCCAGCGTTCATGAGGAGCGCCATGAACTGGCCTTGACGCAGATTGCAGACGGTGAGAGGGAGCGTGAGTCTTTGGAGCTGGCCAACATGTTGCTGAAGGCAGAGTACGATGACTGTCTGAACGAGAGACAGGAGCTCCTTGCACAGAAAACCTGTTGTGTTTGCATGCACTCACTGCGCAGCGTGGTCCTGCGCCCCTGCTCTCACTTCGCGCTGTGCACGGAGTGCGCAGAGCGGATTTCCAGCTGCCCAATGTGCAGAGTTCCAGTCGAACACAGAATCGTTGTGATGTTGTCCTGACTAGCTGACTAGATGTGCTTCCGCGGTGCAGGGCTCGCACGCGACAAGCACAGCCGGGTAGAGGACCGGTGTGGAAGCGCGAGTAAAAGTAGTCTGCTGACAGTGACATGACTGGATGTAGTTGTCAGGCCAGCAAGTTTTATTTCAGTGTCCAAGGATCTAGTTATTTGTGCAAGCATCGGTATCAGGTGGCCCCCTGGGGCTATAGTAACCTCAGACATCACCTCGACAGATCACAACACCAAACGTGAGAGTGAGCACCCCTGTCGGGTGGTTGCCATTGTCTCTCAAGCCTCCGTTTGAGCACAGAGCCGGGCAGCAAGGATGGGCTGTGGAGCAAGCACAGCTCCGAGAGTCGCTTGGCCAGCGCCTCCCGATGCCAAGCTCCGTCTCAGGCCCTCCTCCGAGAAGCGGGACATGAAAGTTCACAACCTGCACCACCTGCAGATGGGGCTTCTTCGCAAGCAGACATGTGCTGCAGCGAAACCGTGCGAAAGCCAAAATGGCGTTTCAGACATGCTCCGTTCCATCGATGGGACGCAGGACCAGCTTGACGTCGAAGAGATTGAGCTCGAGGCTCAAACCTTTTTCTCGATGAAGTCAGAGGAAAGCGACGCACACCGTGCGAACATGTACCCTTCACTGCCCAATCGTCGCATGCACGAACGGCATTTGCAGCGGATCGAACGTTTGCAGCAAGATCTTCTTGTGGACCCAAGCTTGTTTGAGTCCATCGTGGAGGGCAGGCGGGCCAGCCTGCCGGTCACTTCTCGCAGTTGCCTTGCAATGCCGCCGAAGGTCGGGAACATTCGTCATGAGCCGCGAAAGCCGCGAGCACGACTTCAGCCAACAATGTCCCAGAGAGCCTAATTCCATGCTTTGGCTGACGGGAAAACCCACAAATGCTTTGCCGTGGCCGCCACGATGACGACAGAGCATCTGTCTGCGACGGAGCGGGCTCGGCATAGATAGTGGCATTCTGCCGTCCAGAGGTCAACGGCAGGCCCTGCCGACAGTCTCAATTCAGGTCCGTTTTAGAAGATCTGCAGGGTTTCGCATAGTTTGTTCTCGTTTGCATGTCCTGGCTCTAGCTTGATGATGCGAATTCGCATTGACAGTGATCCGTTCCTGCTAGCAAGGGCCTGACCTCGTATTGCAGTGATTCAGGAAAGTAAGAAAAGTATACTAAATATACTATATATAGTCATAGTGTAGTAACCATCCCAGGTCCCAGGAAGAATTTTGTGCGATCAGCTGTGGCTACATCTTCTTTCGAACAGTTGATGAGAGTATTCATAGAACGAGATCAGGTCAGAAATACAAAAGGTTGGCTGAAGCCGTTTTTTGCACATGTGTCTTGCCTGCCACCTCCGGAGCGCAACTCACGCATTCATGCACTATACTTTACTAAACTATGCTCCACTGCTATTCTATACTGGACTATAGTTGTGAGTTGCAGCCGCTACCGATAGGTTGCAGACCGCAGGGTGGCGCCAGCTTTTGGCCCTGTTTGTTCGGTTGCCTCGCGCGGAAATGGTCGGCAGTAATCAGGGACAAGCCCTGTTTGCCCGACATTTCTGCTTGCCACCGAGGTGGACCTCATAGGGGCTGGCGAAAGTTTTGAGCCAGTCTGCAGCGTAGGGTTTCGGGAGAATCCGAGCCTTTTGGACACCGTGCTGTATCTAGAGGGCAGTGAGTTCTAAGCAGCTAGAGATCTCTCTCTCTCTCTCTCGAGAGAGAGATTAGTTCGCAAAACGTGTAATTTGTCATTGCTTCCTACGACACATTACAGGTACGGTTGATGATATAAATCCTGCGCTACCCATACTACGAGATATATTGAACAAATCCTATTATGCTTATCATAAGTTTTTGAGATCCGCGTCCGTGGTTTCGTTGGGCCAAACCGGTGTCAAGAAAATGGTTTAAATGGTTTTACCTCGCCCACCCTGCACCCCCTGCCCTGCCCTGCCCTGCCCTGCCCTGCCCTGCCCTGCCCTGCCCTGCCCTGCCCTGGCCTGCCCTGCCCTGCCCTGGCCTGCCCTGCCCTGCCCT